ATAGCTGACATAGGCTATATGAAACATATAAGAAATGAATGTCAAAGATATCCTAATAATACTTGAAGAAAAGTTTTGCTGGCAGATCAGAATTTAAAAGAAATTTTATAATAGTCATAGATAAATCTACCTACCACACAAAACATGCTCCTCTACTTCAGTGGTTCTTAAACTTAAAACATGCATTAGAAACACATGGAGGGCTTGTTAAAACACAATCACTAGACCCCACCCCCAGAGTTTCTAACTCAGTATGTCTGGTGTGAGGGCCTGAGAATTTGCATTTTAAACAAGTTCCCAGGTGAGGCTGATGCTGCTGGTCCAGGGCCACACTTTTAGAATCACTGCTCTAGTTCGTTTATTGATTCAACGTTATTTTGAGTGCTCACTAGGTATTTGGGATAGAACAAGTCAAACATTTCCTCTTTTCAAGGTGCTTAATTTTTATAGGAAAAGATCAGGAATATAAGTGAAAAGCAAACTGCAAAACTGGAAGTACAGCACGATCCAATAATAACAATGACAACACCACTGTTAAGATAGGCACAGCACAAAATCTAGTAGACCGCATCAAATCTCTTTGTAGTAGTCTCAAAGAGGACTTTCATGAACTTTATCATATAGCTCTAGAATGTTAAAAATGTTTATAATAAGTATGGTTACTTTAGTTCTAAATAAGATTATTAAAAACATTTATATAGGAAAATTACTATAATGAAACAAAAAATGTTAACAGTATTTTTGAGCGGTAAGCTGTATTAATCCTTCAGTACATTTCTATATTTCCAATTATTGAACGGGAATAAAGTGTTAACTTTTTTCTGATCATGAAAGCATCTTCAAAATAAAATTCCTAAATCATTTTTAATGCTGTCTTGAAAACATAATCCCCACTGTATTGTTTTTCCTAGTCACCTGAAATTGTTTCAACCTGAACATTATGAAAAAGAAGAAAACAGATTACGGCCTAAGTAAACATAATACCACAAATAGGAAAGAGCCAAATGACAGGAAGTATCATGAGCATGGTATTTCCACAGAAGCATTTTGGAATAATTTCTCATTTTGAGTTCTTCATTTCTGAAATCTTAATGTGCTTTTCCTATAGTTTTATATGTAACAGTGTTTTCACATAGTAATGATTCAATAAAAATGCTGATTTGTAGTCTGCCCTTCCCCAACGCTTTTCAATCCAGAGTTAACAAAGCTGTTACATAAAAAGAAAAAAAAAATTACCTTAACTTTTACCAGCCTTTTCACAGTCTTAATTTTTGCCTCACAGAAGGCACCCCGGTACTTGGCACTGACATCAGTTCCCACTGTCAGGTAGGCAGGCTCATCCGCCGCCTGATGAAAGAACATAAAATGGAAATTCATTACTATTTTCCCCAAGTCTGTGTTTAAAGTAAAAAGAACAGTAGCACTACTTATTATTAATATCATCGATAATTTAAAAAATACCCCAAACACTCTATTTTGTAAACTATATCCTGATAACATAAAACATTTAAAATTGTAACTGGAAAGTATCACTAGAAAAGTATAATGATCTTTTTTCTCCAGATAAAAAATGTTCTAACAATTCTACAATATAGTTAAGAAACTAAAAATAAGAAAAAACAAAAAAAGTGCAAGTATATGTGTATTACGTATCTCATAAAACTTTCAGTAATTCAATTGTGGCCTCTGGAAAATTTTGTTTTCTAATGAAAACAAATATTGCTTTTAAATTAATACTAACAATACATAACTAAATGTTTATTAATATATAGCTACATAAAGGCAACATCTTTTTGGACATGGTATAACTGTACAAAATAAGAAATAAAGTGAATTCTTTTGAAAGGAAAACACTATTTGGAAAAATCATTGGCTAAAAGCTGAATTTTAAAGGTTTAAGTTTAAATTCAGCCAATGAATGCAGAGATATCAACTGATGGCACTAGACTTGTAGCTGTTTACCACACAAGTTTTCTTCCTATAAAAAAAAAGAAAAAAGAAAAAAAAAGCTTTCATAAGAGATGTCTTTTAGCCAATGGCCATAAGAACGATTGAGAGATGTGAGAAATTTCATTTTATGATTCATTTTAATCTTGACAGTAACAGAATGATTGCTATCTCAATCTGTTATTTTACCCTTTTTTTCAAAAGTTAAGTGTATTCATACAAGCTTGATTCAACATTGTCAAGTGCAAAGGTTACAGTGTATATCTTAAGAAATACACTTTCAGGTAGAAAATGATTTTCATTTTCTAACAAGTTTTCCCAGCTAACATTAAAGGTTACATGTATCACTTCAAGGAAACAAAAAAGCAAGAGAAAATTTGGAAAATGATATATTTCTGAGCTTAATATTGAAACAGTAAATGACAAAGGAATTAAGTGCCTTTTAAAGTTAGTGCATTTACAAATAATACAAATTGAAGTGGGATACTTTTGGCAAGTAAATATCTGACCTGAAACAATCAATGCCACAGCACTAAGGACTGCTATACCTTCCTTTCCCTTTAAACTCACCTACAATGTTTTCAATATTAGTTGTCTTCAGAAGAATGTCTATGTATATATTTAGATTGAATGTTTTAAAATATTTATTATAACAATTGAACTAAAACTATTAATTTTAATTCACTTTCAAATTTTAGCCACGAAATATCACCTTTATCCCCAGCAGAAATGATACCTCCCTTGCATATTTCTTTCCATAGAAAATCGCACTGGCACTGAGGAAGAATAAAAATTTCAAAAAAAAATCCCCCAAAGAACCAAAGCAGGACAAAAGCTTTACTTCTGCAAAGGTTGCTGCCAACACAGGAAGTGTTTAAAAATACTAGCCCAATGGACAATGGAAAGGCTACAACAGCCTTTCCAAAGTGCTAACTGCTTCAAAGAGGGGCCGAACTGACTACGTTTGGACACAATGATCATTTCTCACCCATTCAACACGATCTCCTTTTCAGAAAGCGCTGCTTAGTAGAGGAACCAATTTTGAGTAGGGAAAAAAAAATGACATTCCACAGCACCAGCCTCAAGACAGGCAGTGCCCAGGGCACGAGGTTCAGAGTGGCGCTGACTCCACTTACCTTCATCTTTATCGGTGACTTGTGGGGTTCCAGCTCAACGAGCTATCTTCTCCGTCGCTAAACCACGGGGAGGAGAAAGCACAGAATCAGTCTACACAGGGGAGCGACTCAGGGAAAGAAAGTAAACAAATGCCAGCGGGGAAGGGCAGAACCCTCATCAGCGAAGGGATAAGATCCCCTCGGAGGGTACCCAAGACGCAGGAGCTGGAGGGCAGCGAGAACCCCACGGGCGCCAAAGGACAGCCCGTTCCGCCCCGGAGTTCGCCAGCGGCCCACCGCGCCCCCGCCTCGCTCACCACTTTGACCCGAAAAGCTCAACTCGGAGCCCCTGGACCGATCGCTCCGGAAAAGGGCAGGGCGCCGTTTGGGCTTCCCTGAGTCCCCGACAGGCGCAGTCGCGGAGTCTCTGGTCCGCCGCCCCCCGGATACCCCGACTTCGGCCCGCGCCCCGCCTCCGCCGCTCTACCCCCTCCGCCCGCCCCGGGCCCGCGGTGGCGGCAGCGGAGTGTCACGGCGCCATTGCTCTCCTTCCTCCGCTCTGCACCATGTCAGGAAGAAACGCTTCTTCACCCGAAGAGGCAGGGGCCGCGGCCTTCAGCCGGAGGCGCGAGAGTGAGGGGAGACCCGCGGAGGGGGAGGGGGCTGGGGGGGCGGAGAGGAGGAGGGGAGGTGGCCCGGACAGCGAGTGGGAGGGGAGGGGAGCCGCACAGCGGCAGCCACCGCCTCCTCCCCGCGCCCGCCTCAACTTTTTGTACAGCCCAGAGAGGGACCTGCCCCTAGCCCCTCGGTCCTGCTACGGACTCCACTGGGGAGGACACGCCGCGGAGTTGGGGGGCCGGCTCCCCAAAGCAGCCCGCTCCTTAGGGCGCGGAAGCAAACTTAGCGGCGCGGCCAGCCTCACAGCCATTTTCCCGGGGAAGCGGCCGAGGAGGCGGCTGCGGCGGCGGTTCCTGCACTTGCTGCCACTGCTCTCCGACTTGCCTCTTCTCCTGCGCTCGCCGCACCGCTTGCCTAGCACCTCCTTCCCCACCTCCAAAGCTTCCAACTGCACCGGGACTCCGGGCAGCATCGGCAGCAGCAGCTGCCACTGCCGCTTCGTCCATTCAGTATCCCCTGCTTCCCTCCTCCCCACCTACCAACTGCGGGTGAAGTGCGCGCTGTCAGCTCCCGAGTCCTCCGCCCCACTGGCCCCCGTGGGCCCCAGTCTGGACAGCACCACTCCCGGCCGCGGCGGCAGTTCCTGTGCCCGGTTCCCCACTCGCCCGATTTACTGCCACAATCCACCAAATAACAAGCTGTTGAGCAGACTCGCTTCTACACGAACTCCTATTGGCTGATCATGACGCCGAAGAGCTTCGGATTGGAGCTCGCTACCTGCCGTCCTCATTGGATGTAGCTCTGAAACTTCACGGATTGGTGCGAAAAACAGCAGGTAGGACATCTTCCACTTGTGATTGGCTGTAACCGAAGTCTAACATGATTGGAGAAACAGGTATTGAGTAAGCAATTCCTGAAACACGATTGGTAGAGACGACTCCGGATGTGCTTGACTGAGCACTGATTGGTAAAATGAAGGGTCAGGAAGAGCAGTTCCGCACGAGGATTGGCAGTGGAGTGTCCCATGGAAACCGAACCCGGAGCTGCGGCCAGGATTTGCACGGGGGCGGAGCTCGGTCTTTCCAAAGCGCCTGCGCCAATCCGACTTCCCGGCGCCATTTTGTCTGGGCAGCTGTGGCCGCAGTTCTATCGCATTTCATGTTTCTGGTGAGAAGAGAGCCAAGATTTTCTTCCGTAGTTTTTTTTCTACTACGGCACTCATCCATGGTTCCCTCCAGGACAGCATCTAGTGAAGGTCAGAGGAGTCGCAGGCCTGCTTAAAAGGTCAGTTGGAAGCTACGGTTGTCCGATTGACTGGGGGGATGGCGCAGCGCTAGCGGCACCGGAAGTGGAGGGGCCACTGGGCAGCCATGGCGAAGTTCTCCCTGCAACGGGGTGAGAAGTGGGGGGCGGGATGAAAGGGGGCGAGGCTTCCTCTCCCGCCGCGAAAGAGAAAGAGGCGGAGAAGTCTTGCCCTTCTCTTCCTCCGGTCTCATCCTTTGGACTCCTCTCGAGAGCCTGAGAGGTTTTCTGGGGTCTCCTCCTCTCCGAGCAGTTCTTCCTCCCTTTGGAAGTGCGTTTAGGGAACTTCTTATATTCTCAGCCAAGTGTCACTGGCTGTGGGCGGCCCCTTAATTAAGATGGGGAAGGCAAGGTTCTTAGATATATACTGCGTGGGGAGAGGTGTTTCCGCGTGTTCCTCACGAGATTAAGCTCAGGTTTCGGAACGCTTAGGAGTTCACTTGCATAGACGCTGCTACTCTGGCCTTAGACAAGCAGCTGTTCCACACTGCACGAAGCTTATGCTTATTATTATTTGTTTTAAAGGAAATAGCAATGGTTTTGCAGGGACAGAAAACACGTTAGATAAAAGGACCTTCCTGATAGGATTTCGTTCAGAGCAGCCATCGATCTTGTTATATTAGCAAAATCTTGTGTTAAGTGAAACAAAAACACATTCGAAATGGTGGAAATGGGAGTATTAATTGACGAGAAATAATTAGGAAAATGGAAAATATCATCGATAATCCACGTTGACAAAATTTACTCAAAAAGCTAACATTTTAACTAAAGTCAGATCAATTTTTCATTCATAACAGTGAATGTATATGTTGGTAGTCTACTGAGTAACCTAGATTCCCGGATCTAGATAACTTCTTAAAAGCCTTCTCATAATACCTGTTTTGAATCCTATTACTATATATTGGTGAGGCTCCAGACTAGAAAATGGTTGAGTGATTTAATAATTATTGGGTTTCATTGGCAGTTGGTCTGAAGAAAACAGGACCTCTCAGTGACAAATATCCAGAAGTATTAACTGAGGTGAGTTCCAGTATCTGTAAAAAAATCTTTAGAATTGGGGAGACTGCCTGGAAAACTATTTTGTGGACCAGTAAAGTAGAGCCATAAATAGCAAAATGGAAGAATGGTAGTTGAAAGATGGTTTTTTTTTTTTTTGGTCAAGGGTTCAAGTGAGTCTCTACAATTATCTCTCAGATGTGATATTTTAGAATGAAATCTCAAGTCTCAAGGTTAGGACGTACTTACGAATTTGTCTATCCATTCATGCGGTTCACATTTCTGGATTTAAGTACTTAATATTTTATCATGGAATAATATGAACATTTTTCGTGAAATTTTTTCTCCCTATTTAAAATTTTGGCATACAGGAAATAGGTATTTCAATAAGGAGGGAAATGATTTTTTTTTTCTTAAGGAAATTATAAAACAAATACTGCTGAATTTCCCAGTGGGTAATCACCTATAATTCCACTACGAAACTTTGAACTGTTATTATCTGATCCAAATAACACGTCAGTAGGCATTTGGGAATTACTAAAAAAGCAAAAGAACACAAAAGTCTCTTGTAGTCCCTCCACCAAAAGGTAATTACAGTTCATACTACACTTATACAAAGGGGTTTCTCTTTTTCATTGGTTTTGTTTTACAAAAGGTCATTTGAGTTGTGTTTTTTGTCACCCATTTTTTTCTTTGTAGAAAACATTGGTAACATAGGAAATATTTTGTTCTTAAAGCATTTTTCTTGGCTGCATAGTATTCTAGAAGATAGATGTACCATAATCCATATAATCTGATCTCATAATTTTTGTAATAACAATATGTCTGAATACCTTTGTGTATATTTTGCAAGATTTTAGATAAGAACTGACATCAATGGCTAAAATTTCTAAGTATCTAGATCTTTCTTCACTTCCCTGATTATTTCTTTAAAATAAATTCCCAGAAGAAATATAAGGCCAAAGGGATTGTACATTTAAGGCAATAAGTTCCTTATATAAGATCCATATAAGATCTTTATACAGTTGCCCATCAGAAAGCTTTTGGTCTTACTGCACTTATATTTTTCACTGTCTTTTTTGCTTTTACTACATTTTCCCCCAGTTTTTTTTCCCTTTAGCTTTATTTTTTAACTTTCTCTTCTGGTCTCATTTAAGTAGAATTATTACAATCTTTAAGTCACACGTATAGTAATATAAATTAGAGAATTTTTATTGGACCTTAGGAATGATTTCTTAAAACTAAGATTTCTTAAAACTAATAGATTTTTCACTCTGAGTAGTCAGACATGTGTCCAGTGAAACATTTTGCTACATGCAATTGACACTTAGAGGTTGAGAAAAACAAATTGTTTTTATGGTATAGTTAGTTGAGTTTAACTATTTTTTCTATGTTTTCCTGTAGCCTTCCCTGAAGTTTTCCATCCTTATGTGCATTCTTTTGGTGCTTTTGTAACCTCACAGGACCCTTTACATGCCTCTCTCATAACATTTACTTGGCAGTTGTTTGGCTCTTCCCCGGTTTGAGACTATATCCAGAGGGCAGCAACGGAGGTTTTAATCACTGTTATGTTTGCCTACCTGATACGTGATAGATACTCTGTCAGTATTTCTTATGAATCTGTATGTGTTGTACACAAAATATGTAAAATAAGCTAACTTACATTTTATTTAACAGTAATTCTTTTCTGAGAATTCATGATGTTTCACAGATGCTGTCTTAACCTTGAAAATTTTTTTAGTGTTCTAAATATTTGAGTTGATAATTAATTTGTAATTCCTAATATGAGAACTCATTAAGAATAGTTACTCAAGATTTTATTTCCTCAGTTTTTTTAAGGATTTTATGGTATTTTAATGGAAGGCAACTGTAGATGAATATTAACTAAATCATTGCCAGACCATCTATCTCTTAGGTATGATAGAAAGAAAATTATGATAGAATTGTGTTCTGTAACCTATTTCAGCAGGCCCAAATTAATAATGTTTCCTACAAAGTCAAAATTGTCAAATTTTTAATAATGGTTCTATGATGAAAAGCTATTTTGAAAGCGGAATGTTTTATTTGTTCAGGGCTTTCAATGAAGGTATATAATTAGTTTTTCAAAGTGACATTTTAGACTGAAATCTCAAAATTAGAACACCCCTATGGGATTTGTTTACCCATTCATGTGGTTCCCATTTCTGGATTCTTAATTACGGAACACTGAACATTTTCATTATTATTATTTTTTTTTTTTACACATGGTAAAATATTTGACATGTAGAGATATCAGTGAAAGTGTTTAGAAGTAAAGCAGTTTTAATGGAAGTATTAAAACAGTCTGTTCTGAGGATGTGGATATAGCATATGCAAATCCAAAAGAATCCTTTCTTTGTCTTCTAGACAAAGAATGGAAAAATGAAGGAAGGTGTTCCAGTTTTAAAAGACCTGAATTTGCTATCTATTAAAAATTCTATTTCTGGTAAGCAGTTTTACTTAACTATTCTTTGGTAATCAAGATTGGCTGTGTTACTATCATATATATCTCTTGAAAAATGATGGAGTTTATACCATTGTACAGCTATTTCTCTAAATGTCTGTGTAGAGAAGTATTGTAGAACATTGCTGTGTTGAATATAGATGCTTTCTTAATGAGTTTATTCTGGAAAATAGCAAAATTTGTTTATTTATAACCAAAGTAACTTTTTCAATCTCTGTATGGTCTTTTGTCCTGTTAGATGTCACTGCTGATTTTGTGGCCACATGGAGTCATGATACTGCTTTTCTTTCATACATAATTAAAACTAGAATGACAGCATATTTTAGGATTTGGATTCAAGCTCATTTAGGTTACGTGGTGGCATTCCTACGTAGCAGGGATCTATGCTGAAGGACCTTACTGTCAATAAAAGGAAGAATAAATTAAACATGGGAAGTAAATAAAAATAGTTATTTCAAAAGATTCAGTCAATTTAGATAACTTTTTAAAGATTTAAATCATGGGTCACAAGAATAATAGATTTATGAAAAGTTCAGTATACTACCTAATTGTTTTTGTTTGTTTGTTTTTAAAGATTTTTTTTTTATTGGGGAATTGGGATTGGAACAGTGCTGGGGAATTGGGGGAAGGGGAACAGACAAGTTGCTGTCGTTTTTGTTCTTCAGTCTAATTGTGGAGGACGTTGCTTCACTGGCCCAAGTTGACACCATCATTGCGCTCTTCCCGGGCAAGGCAGATCAGTCGCCGGCTTCTGGACGGCCGCTCACTGCGGCTGCTGGCCACTCATGCTGGCTGCTGGCTACATACGGTAGCCCATGGCAACCCACTGCCACAGGGGCTGTAGCCTACCCCGTTGTTGCCAGCGATTCACAGCAGCCCAGCTCCAGGTTGAGCTGTTGTTCAGCATCTTAGCTGTAGAGGGCAGTGTCACTGACCCTTATATGTGGGATCCGAACCGGGGCCCTCTGGAATCCCAAGCCAGTTCTTAACCATCGCGCCACTCGGCTGGCCCACAACCTAATTGTTTTTAAAAACAGTGTTTGATAATGCAGAACAGAAGGAAATTTATTTAGCAATCATTGAAGGCTTTTCAAGGTGAGAGGTGATATTAGGTTGGTGCAAAAGTAATTGCGGTTTTTGCGTTGTTGAAATTTGCCGTTTGATATTGGAATACATTCTTAAATAAATGTGGTTATGTTATACATCATTTTAATAGGTATTTCTCGCTTTATGTTTTTTTGCTAATGACTTATTACTTGCTGTTTATTTATTTATTTTAGACTATGGAAATGATGCTAGACAAAAAACAAATTCGAGCGATTTTCTTATTCGAGTTCAAAATGGGTCGTAAAGCAGCGGAGACAACTCGCAACATCAACAACGCATTTGGCCCAGGAACTGTTAAAGAACGTACAGTGCAGTGGTGGTTCAAGAAGTTTTGCAAAGGAGACGAGAGCCTTGAAGATGAGGAACGTAGTGGCCGGTCATCAGAAGTTGACAACGACCAATTGAGAGCAATCATTGAAGCTGATCCTCTTACAACTACACGAAAAGTTGCCAAAGAACTCAACATTGACCATTCTACGGTCGTTCGGCATTTGAAGCAAATTGGAAAGGTGAAAAAGGTTGATAAGTGGGTGCCTCATGAGCTGACCGAAAATCAAAATCGTCGTTTTGAAGTGTCATCTTCTCTTATTCTACGCAACAACAAGGAACCATTTCTTGATCGGATTGTGACGTGTAACGAAAAGTGGATTTTATGTGACAACCGGCAACGACCAGTTCAGTGGTTGGACCGAGAAGAAGCTCCAAAGCACTTTCCAAAGCCAAACTTGCACCAAAAAAAGGTCATGGTCACTGTTTGGTGGTCTGCTGCTGGTCTGATCCACTACAGCTTTCTGAATCCAGGCGAAACCATTACATCTGAGAAGTATGCTCAGCAAATCGATGAGATGCACCGAAACCTGCAACGCCTGCAGCCAGCATTGGTCAACAGAAAGGGCCCAATTCTTCTTCACGACAACACCCGCCCACATGTCGCACAACCAGCGCTTCAAAAATTGAACGAATTGGGCTACGAAGTTTTGCCTCATCCGCCATATTCACCTGACCTCTTACCAACTGACTATCACTTCTTCAAGCATCTCGACAATTTTTTGCAGGGAAAATGCTTCCACAACCAGCAGGATGCAGAAAATGCTTTCCAAGAGTTCATTGAATCCCAAAACACGGATTTTTACACTACAGGAATAAACAAACTTCTTTTTCGTTGGCAAAAATGTGTTGATTGTAATGGTTCCTATTTTGATTAATAAAGATGTGTTTGAGCCTAGTTATAATGATTTAAAATTCACAGTCCGAATGTGGTTGGACGGTTGTGATTAAGAATGCCATTATATAAGGAAGGCTATGTTTAGGACAGTGAGTAAACAAGTTTGGAGAGGATGACTGACTACATAGGGAAAATTGTGTGAGGCCAAATTGTGAATGTTTCTAGAATTAGTTGAACATCAGAATTATATGGGGTGCTTGTGGCCTACACAGGTTTGGGAATCTCTAGAGAGCCTTGAAAGCTGGGATGTTTGCATAAATAGTTTTATTTTCAAATTTTACAAATCACAATGAAACTACACCAAAATCACTTAATCCCACCCCAACATTAGATTTTTAAAATTTCCTTCTTGTCTGTATATAGTCTTTTTTTAGTCTTAGAGTAATTTTTATTTTTCTTTGTTCCTTTTAACATTTTAATAAGTATTCAGTATGACTACAGAGTCACCGTAATTTTAATGTCTAAAAATATTCCATCAAACTGTTTTATCTGTAACTTCATTTTTCTATTACCTGACCATGTAGGTCTCAAATGGTCATTGTAGGAACATTTTTCTGACTCTTAAAACATTGCCATGTTGTTTTCCAAAAGTTACAATTTATACTATCACTGTTCCTGTGAGTTTAACTGCCAGCATTGGGTAGTCTATAATTATAATCATTTTTGCTAATTTAATAGGTGAGAAATACGTTGAGCGCTTTTTTTTTGTTATGTTTTTGTTAACTAGTGAGGTGGGACCTTTTTCTATAATTTCACTTACTGAGTATTAGTAATAGGTTGTTTATTCAAGACTTGTGTCCATTTGTATGTTAGAGTCTTGATATTTTATTTCTTAATTCTTGGAGTTTATTATACTATTAGCTGCAAATATTTTTCTATATAGACTTATCTTTTAATTTTTGTTATTTTTATTGAGGGTTTTTGAACAGACACAGGAGTATGATGTCCACAAAATGTATTATTGGAAAATTATTTGGAAACTATCCAATGTGACTGAAGAAATGACACAAGAATTGGAGGTAGGCAAACAATTAAGATAGTGTTGCAGTGGTGTCAACATGAGATGAACCTGGAGTAGGACCTGGAGAGAGAGAAGGCAATAGGTGAACAAGAGATTGTGAGGGGAAAAAAAGAATTGACAACATTTCATCTCTAGTGATTATAGAGGTAAAGGAGAAAGAAAACAAACGACTCAAGATTTTAAAGAGCAGGCAATAGATGATACTGTTAACTAATTTGGAAAGTGAGGAGAGGTCCCTGGTTGGTAAGGAAGATGAAGTCAGTTTTAAACATGCTAGTTAGAGCTTAAAATGTCGAGTAAGCATCTAGTCTTCCTTTTCTCATGCCTGTGAGATCCCTAATTGGGACCAAGCATGTGCTGGACCTTATATTTTGTATATTTTGAATTTCAGTTTCATTCTTCCATTAGGCTTTGGTGCTTTTACCAGGGGTTTCGTATTCCCAATTTTTAAAGTATAACTTGAAAAGTTACAGTGAATTAGTAAGTAAAATAAGTGTAGGGAAACCAGGTGATTGTCAAAGTAAGGGAAGGTTAGATTTTCATGATAAAAAATTGTAGTATTAAGAAATCATCTTCTAAAATGTATGTATGCTTTTAAATTGTTCGATATGTGGGGTTAATTATCTTTCCACCCTCTTCCTCAAAGGACTAAGTTTTGTGTTTTATTTTGATTTTAACAAATATATGGAGGTAACAGATATAATCCTGTGTAACATGAATGTTTAGCCAAGATTCTTTAAATATATGAAATCTAAGTAAATATGTTAATTTGGAAACCACTTTTATTTCAACAGATGAAATTTAAGTGTTCAGTTTAAGGAAGGACTTTGGCTGTTAGACATCCAGAATGTAAAATAGGCTAATTTTTGAGTGTTCTTCAAGAGGAGCTTAATTTAACCAGTTCATCTCCATTGGTCCCCTCCCCTCCTTTTTCCTAGGGTTTTAAAAAATGTTTTCTGCTATATTGTAAGGAAAAAGTTACAAGTTGTTTTAGAAAAAATAAATTTTTTAAATGTCCCATTAGGTACCAATTACGATAATTTTTTCATTTTGATTCCACTTTTTAATTTGTTTTTATAAAACCATTTTGGGATGGTATATGAGCTTAAGAAACAAATGTACTTTGTTACATATAGCAAGACTCTTTGATGTCATTTAAATAATTGATTATAAAAAAGTTTTCCTATCACAGCGGTAGCTCTGAGTTATAAAGACATAATCTATAGATTGAGGGAAAAGTAATACATTCAGAAATATAACATTTTTTCATTAGCTTTTTAGCATTCTTAGTTTTTAATGACTGTGGTTATATGTATATTTTAATTGCTTCTCTTTTATTAATCCCTTGTCTATGGTACCTTTTATTTTTCAAAGATTTAAGTCATTAGAGTTACAGGATATGTCTTCTCCATGCCCTCCATTAGAATAGCTTTAAAAATTATTCCTGAAGAGCAAGGAAGATACTTCCAGCTTTAGAATGGGTAGGTGTGGCCAGGCTTTTGTTTGTTTGTTTGTTTGTTTAAGCTGAGCCATCCTGCTACCTGTTGGTAGCTCAGCTGCTGCTCAGCTCGGGTTGGGCATCGAACTGCTGTTGCTCAGAGCTCAAACTCTTGAGCAAGCTCTTAACCAACTGAGCCACTGGCCGGCCCTGGCCAGGCTTTTTGTGGGAGGGGTGGTTTAGGGCAAATTTCTTAGCCTCTGTGCCCCATCTGTAAAATCGGCATTGTAGAACTGACCTGAAAAGGTTGGGATTAATATTAAATGAATTAATACATGTAAAGAGCTTAGAATGATGCCAAGTATTTAGGAAGCACTCAGATAGTGGGTGGTATTGTTCGTGTGTATAATGATGTATAGTGCCTGTCATTAGTGTGTCATTTGAAGAACATCTTAAAAGAGTACATTATTTATATACCAAAAAAAAGCATCTAAACTTTTTACCTCCCATTCAATATCTTCCTGAAGGTCATATCAACGTTTCTCTAAAGTTACTTCCTACTTTTCAGGTATTGGCTGCAGTCACACTGAAACCGTCATGGCTCCTCTCTACATGCTCTGTGTTTTCGCTGTTCTTTGTTTTTATTCATACTTTTACCACCATCTGGGATGTTGCCCTATCACAAGTTCAGAAGCTACTTTTTAAATGAAACTTTCCTTGATACCTCTAGATAATCTGTCCATATGAATTGCATGTATTTCCTCTCACATGATTCCTACCACTTTCTATGTTGCATTTCAGCTTTGTAGTCACTTCACCCACTCAGATTTTCTTCATTAAATTATGACGTTCTTATAGACAGAAAACTATACCTTATCTTTGTAGGTTTAGAAACAGTCACAGGCCTTAGTAATTAGTAGCCGCTCATTTGTGGAATCAAAGTTAAGCTAAAAGGTGAGGTTTAATGGACAAATGCTTGCCTGTGAAAATGTGATTTGTCAGTGTTTGTACACCAGGAACATCTTGCCTGATCAGTTACTTAAAATGAGATCACTTGAAGTTTTAGGAATTAGATTGGGTCAGATTCAAGAACATGTAGGGGGTAGAGCATAATGGGGACCATCCACAGATCAAGAATTTTCATTAGAATGTTTTCCTCTTTTTTTTTTTTTAAGATAGTATGTCTAACCATCAGAGGGATTGTTTTTCTGATAGTAACTGATTTTTCATAGATCTGTCCACCCACTAATCTTCCTTAGCACTAGTGATCCAAATTTGTGAGAAGTCTGGCTAGGACTCAGGGTCCATCTGCTGCCAATAACAATATAGCAACCACCTGGCTCAATCAGTTATTGAACCCATAATCTCACTCTGCAGGTACATTTTTTATCACAATGCCATAATGCGTGTTGGCATGAAAGTAAGAGTAGGCTCAGAATTAGGAACTGGGTGAGACACTTCATGAGGACATTTATTTGATCCTTGGTTACTATAATATTGATAGGGTCTTCACCTCTAGATTTAGAAGAAATGGTAATGGTGGGAAATGGATAGAGACGTTAAAATATCAGGCTCCAGGTCAGCATTCATAGAGCTAAAGTGGCAATTACGTACTCTTAGCTCAAAAATTCTCAACTTTTACAGTAGTTCACTGGGATGTTGGATTAAGTATCGTAATATAGAAAACACTTATTTGAAAACCCGATGGTCTATGCTGTCACCATAAGCCTGTTCTCATTGGTTGTGACCTGGGATACATTACTGTGCATGAGAGTTTGCTTTTAGAGAATAAGGGGCATGGGGCTAGGAATTTATAGCTCTTAATATCAAACAGTTCCAATCCAGCACAATTGTTTTCAAATAAGAATTCCTATAAGCATACTTTATAATAGCTATGTATTTCTGAAAGGTTAACTGATACTTAGCAACCTCTGAGAATCAGAAGTATCAGACTGACTCTATTTTAGCACTTCAGTTGCTGCTATTCCTACCGCATGGGATCAACTTGTGAGAAGCTTTAATGTCCTACCTACTTCACTGTTTATTTAACAAGTGCTCTGAATGCTTTCATTGGCTCGTAAAACAGATATTAGAAATAAGAGCTAAGTAAGCTCACTGACATTCATTATAGTGAAGTTTCTACTTTGTGTATGTGTGTAGTGGCCACACACAACAAATAAAAGTACCGTGAACTCCAATATTTTTTCCTGTAGTTCTTTAAAAAAAAAAAAAAATCTGTTGTAACCCACAAAGTTGATTTCATGACTTCCTGAAGGTCTCAAACTGGTTTTGGTGGGGGCGGGTGGATTGACTAGATAATAATGCTTTACATTTATTCGGTAGTTTAACATTTTACTAGGTACTTGGATGATACTATTATACTATACCCTTAAGATACAAATTAAGTTACCTGATAAAAAGTTAAGATACAAATTAATTGTTACCTGAAAAATGCTTCTGTTGTTTCAAGAGCAGTGGAATTGGAGGGGCTGCAGAGGGCAACTGGAAGAAGTCATGGGGGAAGGGTTCGTTTTCTTCTTTCCTTTTGCTGGTTTGTGGTATGTTTGGTAGTGTGTTATTGAGTCTGCTGATTCTCACGGCCCACTTAAGGGATTTGTATTCATATTTATTTGTATTTAGGGTTACCTCAAATCCTACAGCAAGCATACACACTTTTACCCCAAGTAGGTTCCCTCAAACCAAACCAAAAATCTTTTTTTTAATTTTTGTCTTTTAGTGTTTATATGCAGTCATAAAACTGCTTCCAGTGTTTGTATAATTTTGGTGGCTTAAGACAGATCAGGGAGGAGGGTTTACATGAAGGAACATAACAAAAAAACTTTCTTCCTGTTTCTTGGTTCCTCTATGTATCACGTGATATTATCTTTGATACCTTTAAATTGCCAAGGTAGCCTTGGTAACCAAGGCAAATTTTTTGTTTCCTTCTCAAATGTGAAGTTCTGCATTTTACTACACTGTCACGAATAACTAGGCTGTTACCAGTAAATAGCTTAAGCCACAAAACTTGCTTCTCTATGCTGCCAAGTACTTCCTGTTTTTTCAGATTTCCATTTAGGGAAAAGAATGGATTTAGAGTAGATGAACCCGAGTTTCATGTTTAAAGAATTTCTCCTGAAATTGTTTGGAAGGTGTCCAAATAGCGAGATGGTGGGAAAAAATAGCACATCTTGCCTACACATGAAGTCATTTGTGAGAAAGCTTCATTTGGCTTTGTATCATGAAAAAAAGGGTTGCCAGGAAGAGAAACTTTTTGTTGCAGAAATAGCATATGACTTGCCAACATTGTGTCTTTTGCCTTTAGGCTTTCCATATCAAACGTATTTCAGTTTGTGAATGAATCATTACACTGCCTGTTAATGAAGAATCTATGTTCATTTCTAGATTTTTCCTCTACAAATATGTAAGAACTGCATTCAGCCACATTTATTCCATTTCTTTAGTAGAGACAGGTAAAAGGTCAAATGGTGATTAGAAATGGGCTACATTGTGAATACAGAGTATCTTTGAGGGGAGAGTTACATTAAAATGATTTTAAGATTCTTTTGTTACTAAAATAGTAAAGAACATTTATTAATTATAAATGATAGATTGTCACTGTTTTATTCTATGAAATCGACTTCTGATTGGGTGTTAATAGAATGTGTTAGTATAACAGACTTGCAGTGTAAACTTGAATACCCTGATATTGCTGGTAAGGGAATCTTTTGTTAAGGTTCTTTTGCAATAGCAGAACCAAGTGCTTCTATAAAATTTTCTTCGACCAAATTGACCTGGCCCAACTTAAGTCAGAGCTGTTGTTCTTTTTTGACCTGTCAATAAAATATGAAAGGTACTTGTTAATCCTGAATGCTTGTGCAATTTCTTCCTTATCACCTCCCTGGCGTTTTGGAAATTTTTCAGAGAACTGGTGCTGAATTTTAAGATATTTGAAACCATCTGCTATAAAGGTATATTTTGGTTTCTAGAAGTTTCAGAGAGTGGGGTACATTCTGGCTTATGATTGACTTAATTTCTGTATATTGTACCAAGGTATGGTTTGGTTTTTGGTGTTGATTTCTGTTTTTGCCTATGGATGTCCAGTTGTTATAGCACCATGTGTGAAAAAGCAATATCCTCCATTGATTTGTCTTTTTACTTTTGTCAATTGACCATATTTGTGAGTCTATTTTTAGACTTCAGTCTATCCCATTAATAAGTCTAAAAAAAAAACAGTTCTAAAATTTTAAAAAACATGTCTTTATACCATTAGCATTTATAGTCTTGAAATCAGGGGGCATGAGTCTTGTTTTAAATTGTTTTGGCTGTTTTAATTCCTTTTCCCATAAAAATTTTAGATACAGCTTGTAGATTTCTTATCACCTCCCCACCCCAAAAAAGAGCCTTTTGTGAATTTGACTAGTTTACAATGAATGTAAATCAGTTTAGAGAGACAATACTTGAGTCTTCTGATCATTTTCGCTCACCCACATTTTCTAATTTTCAACATAAAATCTCACACAAATTTATACCTAAGTATTCTAGTTTTTGACGCTACTTTGAATGGTATATAATCCTCATTTTATAGATGAGGAAATTAACTTCCCCAAGGTGACACAATTATTAACAAAGCGTTTGAAACCTACATGAGCTTATAAACCACTATCCTAGTTTTAATTACAATAGTTTTATTATGAAATTGTTGTGGTTACAATGATGGCAGAAAGGAAGCCCTAACTTCTTTTAACAAGAAAAATACCATTACCACACTTCTAAAAAAGAATTGGTCCCCAGAGTTTATATATTTTCTGAGCTTGGGTTTTCCAAATCTGTTCAAATCATAAACCAAAACTTTGTTTAAAATATTTTTAATTTTTCTTTTTTAGGTACCAGTCTCAAGGTTTACAGTAACAAGGTACTCAAGTCTTTTCTGTTAATAAATTTGTAGTCTTATCCAAAGTAAAATGTACCAGTCTTCTGCCCCCCAGAGGCTAATCATATCTCAGCACTATGGTTACATAGTGCCCCTACAATTGAACCTAGATTATTAAACTTGTATAGTACATGAAAATCAATTGCTTCTCTTTCATAATAGCTGAAGAGTTGGGTGTATCTGCTTAGTTTTAGATTTACCTGATATGGTGTGTATACTAGTTTTCAGGTGGCTTAGCTGTTCAAATTTAGGTTTCTTTTGAACCAGTGTCTTTAAAAGTGGTTATAGTTATACTGATGTGAATTTAAGAGCACATGTGCTCATGGCACAATAATAAGAGGTTCGTGTACTGTTCATACTTTGGAAATTTGGAAAAGTATAAAATGACCATTGTCTGTCTATACGTAGATCCAATTTAGTATAGTTTAACTGTTTGACCAAGGCCAACACTGGTTTCATTCTGAGTTAAATCTACTGAGTTGTAATTTTACATAAAAGCAGCCATGGTAATAAGATACTGTTTTGGGGTTGTTTGTATAATAGTTAGCTATTCACGTATAATGATTTGCTATTTGAACTACAGATGCTCAAAGTCCAGCAATACCCTGCTGCTAAACTCAGTGCCTAGATTGCCTTCCTAGGAAAACATGATAGTTAAATGGAGTGACGCTGGCATGAGCCCAATAAATGGTGTGTATACCTGGTATACTTGGCCTGAGTTCAGATTGTTTCTTCCTGCTGTAAGTGCTACTGTTGCAGGCCACGATATTGATTATTCCTCAATAATAATTCTGTTTACAGAACACTTTCACATATATTCTCATTTATTTTTTAGCATAAAATATGGGTGTGTTTATTGGAAATTTACAGATCGAGAAATGTTTTAAGTGACAATAGCAACTTTGTGGATCCTTAAATCCACTTATCACAATAAAAGAAAAAAAAATTCTTGATTCTCCAATCTGAAACATCTTTCATGTCTGTTACACCTAAAGGTTAGCAGTGGCTGATGACCAAAATCATTCATCAAATACAAAACTGGGCAATGGTGTCAATTAATTGCCTAAGTTGGTAGGTACTGGTAGGTACGTCTTACACAACATCCCAGCAGGATATATAACCTTTAGATTCTAACGGAGTAATGGAATGGAGCTTTGAATTAATTTGATTCCAAAACCTCTGTTTGCAATATTTTAACATTTTTAAATAGGCATGAATCACTTTTTAAATGGGCATCAACATTTTAATGCTGAGTAAATATGTGCTCAGTTCCCCCCCCACACACACATTTTTCACATTTTTGTCAAGCAGATATTAACCAAACTTCAATTGTTACAAGACAAAAATTTAATGAAAATTGTTTGGTGGGTATGGAATAACCCACAGAGCTAAATAGTTACATGGGGGCTGTAGTAGAAATTTAAAATTGTAGCTGCTGAATTTACTGTTACATGTTATCATCATCTGATTCATCTTCTTCCTTCAAAGATTCCTGTTAAGAGAAAAATCTTGTTTAAAATCAATTTTTAACCACTTACAAAAATTCTTTATAAGTGAAAAATGAACACTGGTTTAGAATAAGACACCCAAGTAAAGAAAAGGATAATTAAATATACCTTACTCTAACAATCAATTAACTATATTCTTGATAGAATATATACAATATGAAAGCATTAAATGTCCTGAAAAACCCTTGCCGTTCTCACACAAATTTTTGGAACCAGGGCACCTTCATCCCCATTGAGGATAACCCAGAAAATTTTTATCCTTAGTTCAACTGAACTCTTTATCATTTAATAGAAATCAACCAAGTTCCTTCATTATTCAACACTTATGTCCATGGAGTTTTCATGCGATGGCTTACCTTAGCATATTTCTCTGCTTCTTCCCTTATGTCTTTGGGAACAATTTCATGTCTTCCTTTAGTTACTAGAAATAAACCATATATTTAAATGAATTAAACACGAGGACTATATTGTAATTTGCAATACTATGCAATCTACCCAATCCACAGCTAAGATCCATCTAATGTTAATGTTAAAAAGTTATACTTGGGGGCCGGCCGAGTGGCGCGATGGTTAAGAACTCACTTAGGATGCCAGAAGGCCCCGGTTCGGATCCCACATATGAGGGCCAGTGACAGCAACTTGTCTGTTCCCCTTCCCCCAATTCCCCAACACTGTTCCCAACCCCCCAATTCCCCAATAAAAATCTTTAAAAAAAAAAAAATAAGTTGGAATAATACAACAAGATACTTTTAACTCATTTTTGTGTTTTCTCCACATAAGAGATTAAATCTGCCCAAATTTAGTTCTTATGGAAACAAAGAATAAATTATGCTCTGATTTATCCTAATGCTATGATAAATCCTGAGTATTCATTAATGTATAGCATGATTAAAAAAATTTTTTTAGGGCCGGCCGAGTGGCACGTTGGTTAAGAGCTGGCTTGGGACGCCAGCTCTGTACAGCAGGGCCCCAGTTCAGATCCCACATTGAGGGCCAGTGACACTGCGCCCTCTACAGCTAAGAGGGTGAACAACAGCTCGACCTGGAGCTGGGATGCCGTGACTCGCCGGTGATGGTGTAGGCTGCAGCCCCTGCTGAAGTGAGCTACCGTGTGTGGCTGGCAGCCAGCGTGAGCGGGCAGCAGCTGGTATGAGCTGCCAAGAGC